TACAATATGCAAAGAACTCAACAACATTAAACCACATATAATTAAATATCCAGTCAAGAAATGGGCAAGAGAAATGAACAGACACTTCACAGGAAGAAATTAATAGTCAACAAGTATATGAAAAAATGCTCAATGTTTCTGGCCACTAGAGAAATGTAAATTAAAATAATGCTAAGACTCCATCTTATTCCAGAAAGAATGGCAATCATGAAGACATCAAGTAGAAACAAATGCTAGCAAGGCTGTGGTGAAAAAGGAACCCTTTACTCTTCATTACTGGTGAGAATGTAAACTAACACAACCATTAAGGCAATCAGTATGAAGTTTTCTCAAAAAACTGAAATGAGAAATTCTATTTGACCCAGGGAGGCCTCTCCTAGGTATCTTCCCCAAAGAGTTTAAATTATCATACTAGAGCAATACATGCATACCAATATTTATCACAGTACAATTCTTTGGGTAAATCCTGGAAACAGCCTGTGTATAATAAAGAAAATGTGGTTATCTATATATAGTGAAATGTTACTCTGCTATAAAGAATGACAAATCTGATACATTTTCACGGAAGCTGATACACCTGGAAAACACAATGTTGAGTGAAACAAACCAGTTTAAATACCTTATGATGTTTCTCATTTGAATCAGTAAAAGTACAAGTAAAGTGAATGATAAATGATGGATAGAAAGGGACAAGGAGATGGACGTCCTGTAATACAGAAGCAGACCAAAGGAATAAAGGCAAGGGGTGAGAAGGACAGGGAGGGGAAGTGAATAGAGTGAAGATATGTCATGTTCATTAACCTAAGAGTCTTGATGAAAGGAAACATATGCCAAAACATGAGCTAAGATTAATAATACAAACAAGTAGGGGAAAACATTTTTAAAATTTCCACATACTTTCAAAGCAATTCTTGAGATTACTTCTAAAAATGGTTTGAATCAAATCAAATTTAATCTTGTTAAGTCTACAAAGTAAAATTACTTAGAAACCTAAAAGCACATAAAACTCAATTTCCAAAGTCTGTTAAAGTTTAAATTATGTAAATGAGACAAATCCTGGAAATCAGCAAAGTGTGAAACCATTCTACTTTTAGAGATGAATTTATTTTTTAAACAGTTTTACTACTGTTCTAGTTTTAGTTAAGATTCCTTTATCTGCATTTACAAATAAGCTGAATGAAGCTAAAAATTGTTTTTAAAGATTTCTGTAATATTAATGACATTATGATCTAGAATATCAACATATGTGTTTTCTCTAACATTTATCCCAATGAAAGAATGGCTTAGACTAATTTAGGAATACAGATTAATATGAAAACAATGAAATATTTAAAGACTTCACATATAGAAAAAATATCGTTTACAGGAATACGTATTTATCATTAATGCAAGGTAATACTTCTTTGTTTACTTGATTTTTAAACTGTAATCTTGTGTAACATTTTCTTTATACAAGATTGATCAGAATGTAAGTTTTATAGCATGTTTCAAAATTACTTTTTGCTATCCTCTTAATAGATTTTCATTATACATGTAAGAAGTCTGAGTTCCAAAATGACATTTCAGATTTTTAAAAACAGAACTACTGTATTTAATAAAGTAGTATATTTTATAGTTACTTAAGAATTCTTCAAATACCAATTTAAAAACAACCTAGTTAGTAAGCTGCAAAATACTGAGGCAGGTTTTGTATTTCAACTATCTTAAACAAGATGGTCAGGTATGGTAGTGGTATTGTAATCCCAGCACTCTGGTAGGAGAAAGGGAAGAGAATGGCAATTAGAGTCTTGCCTGGGTAACCTGATGGATGAGACCTCGTGTCAAAAAAGAAATTTTTAATAATTTTTATCAATACAGCACTATTTTTTCATCATTTTAGCTAAACCAATAAACTAGAATCATTTGATTTGAAAAACCTTCAAATATTTAACTGGGTCTAAGTATCTAAAAATATTTTTATCATAGGTCAAACAAACAAAAACAAAAACTAAACCAATACTGGACCCTATTTTCATACTAATCTCATTTTGTGGCAGAGCTCTCATGGGCAAAGAATTCTTTCTACGCAAATGTAGATCAACTCAAGTAAACATAATGAATTACTGCTGATGAAGATAGATTATACCAAAGATACCAAATAAATGATTAAAACAGTTTCCTGCACTTGTACACTGTACTACATTTAGTTTATAGAGCTTTACAAAACAAAAATGCGCCCCAGAAAAATCCTAGAACCCAAAACAGTAACACATTTTATAGATGGAGGGAGCTGTACCACCAGGGCCATTAAAGATTTGCCTAACAACATGACAAAAAACAGGTACAATCATTAGATTTCAGTTGCGTAACATATGTACCCTTCTACAAAATGTAACACCTCTAGTCTTAAATTTTTCCATACTGCTAACAAAAGAAAATATCATTTTTATGTATTTTTATGCTTATCAAAAATCTATAACTACTAATATTTGTCTACATTCTTTAGATTCTACAGCTCTCAGTATCTGTTACAAAGGTTAAAAAAAAAAAAAAAAAAACACAAGACCAAAAAGTAATGTTGAAGCCAGGTATCGTGGCACATGCATGTAATTCCATCACTCAGAAGGTTGATGCAGGGAAATGGCTTCAAGTTTGAGGCCAGTCTGGAGTACACAGTAAGTTTAAGGACAGCCTCAATTATACACTGAGACCCTGTCTCAATGCTCCCCTTCCCTGAAAAAAAGAATACTGGCTGAGAATCCCTAAACCAAAAATCTGAAATCCAAAATGCTACAAAATCTAAAATGTTTTGAATGCTGACATGTCAAAACTGGAAAGTTCTACACCTTTAAATTTCTATTTTATGGACAAAATTGTTAAAAATATTGGATAAAATAACCTTCAGACCATATATGCAAGGGGCATATCAAACATAAGTGAATTTCACATTAGACTTGGGTCTTAGTACCCTTCAGATTTGGGATTGGTGCATATACACATAATGAGACACTATACACAAGCAAATACTCCAAAATCTAGATGATCAATCTTTCCTACACAGCAAAATACCCCTCAGTAACACATGAACTACAATTTTATGAGTTAACTTTATTTTAAAAACATAAATTCCATACTAGCATGAGCTCCTAATTGTTTGAAGTCACTCTTAAAAACCCCTCAGGGAAACGTTCGGCTCATGTCAGTCAGCCATTCACCTTACCCAGAGGTCATGTTCAGCATAGTCAAACAGAAGCCATACTTTCCGGTCAGCATGAGACAGAAACACCTTTTGAAGAGAGATAACATTTGGATGCTTAAGCTCTCGAAGTAACTGCAAAACAAGAGAATCCATTAAAGATTTTTGTAATAAAAATGTTAAAAATATTTGTAACTCAATCTTAAAATTTAATGAGCACCCACATAAATCTGAGGTGTCTATACAGAGGTTTCAGTAACAAAGAAAAATCTGTGGGGAAAAGATGGAAAAATTGTGTATTTTATTGTTGTTTGGTAGTTATTTTGCTCTAATTTTTTTTCTTGTTGTACATGAAACATGAAATTACCACTTTAGCCCTTTTTCATTAAACAAGTCAGTGGCTATAACTACTAACCATTTTATAACTTTTTATTACCAAAACAGAAACGCTGTACCCATTAAACAACATCCTGTTCTTCAGGCCCTTCTGTTTCTAAGATTCTGCCTGTTTTATATACCTCATATAACTGGAATCCCACAACACCTGTAATTTTGTCTTTGGCTTATATCATTTAGCACAGTGTCTTCAACATTAATCCATGTTGTAGCATGTATAAGACTTACACTTTTTCATAAATATAAAAAAATATATATGTATCTCAACATACAATGGGCTTACATTCTGATAAAGCCACCATAAGTTCAAAGTGCATTAAGGAACTCACCTAGCCTGCAAAGCACTGTAGTTCAACTACACAATACACTTTATGTTGATCACCTGGCAGCATACTCCAACATACTACATGAAGTTGGGCCAGGAAAACAAATGAAACTAAATTCAAAATATAGTGTTTATTAATACATATGGATTTTGCAAGATTGTAAAAATAGAAAATTCTAAGTCAAGGATAGTCTACAGGCACATTTTTAAAAATTCAGTCATCAGTTGGTGAATACTTAGATGATTTCAAATCTTTTGGTGAATAATGCTTTTATGAATATTAGCACACAAAAATCTGAGGCTCTGCTTTCACTTCTTTTGATATATGTCTATAAAAGAAACTTTTGGATTATAGATTATTCTGTATTTAACTTTTTAAGAGACCAGTAAACTGATTTTCCAACTCTGCATAACATCCTCAACTGCAATGCATAGTAATTTCAATTTATCCACATCCTTGTCAACACTTAATTTTCCTAAAAACCAACAACAAAAACAAATTAGCCGTTCTAATGGGTATAAAGTGATCTCATTGTGTTTTTGATTTACATTTCCCTATTTACTAATACTATTTAGTTTCTTTTTATGAGCTTATTGGTCATTGTACATCTCCTTAGGGAGAAATGTCTTCAATATCTTTGCTCATTTTTTAATCAAGATTTTTTTTGATATACTGTAGTTCTTTATATCATCTAGATATTAATCTCTTTTTACATCATTTATATTTTCCTCAATCCTAAATTGTCTGATTTGACATCACAAAACAACAAAATTTAAATCTGTAGCTTGCAGTATTTAAAATATCAAGAAATCACACACTTATAAAATCACACATTTAATGGCACTAATGGAGCTCCTAAATTGGCATCATGTTGGGGGTGACTGGGGCAGAGCAGACGCCAGTCTCTCCTGTGAGTCCGTGCCATATGCAGACTGCAGGGGAGGAGAACAAGAAGCCAAAACCTCCCACGAGTTGGCACCATGTGTGGGATGACCAGGGGAGAGCCAGATCTCACCCCTCTCCTGCAAGTTGGCGCCATTCACAGAGGAGGAGAACAAGACATCAAGGAGAAGCCAAGACCTCTTGTGAGTCGGCACCATGTGTGGGCTGACTGGGGAAGAGCTAGATGCCAGCCCTCTCCTATGAGTCAGCGCTATGCACAAACTGTGAAGAAGGAAAACAGGAAGTCCTGTGAGTGGGCGCCATGCGCAGACTGGCTGAGGGAGGGCCAGACAACAGCTCTTTCTGGCGTGTAGGCAGGGAGACAAGAAGAGGCATCATTCCCCCTCCCTCCTTGAGACCAGCTGATCCAGAGAAGCACAGGCTGTGATGATAGCTAATCAGGTAAAATACAACTTAATGCCTGTAATGTTCAGTGTTTCACTGACTTTGCAGACCTAAAACTGGTAGTCTGATCATCTACTCAGAGAATAACAATACCCAAATGTAGCATATATGGGGGCTCTCCTTCTGAAGGTGGTGGCTACTGTTAATTCCCTATTATCTTGTTTTGCAATCCTGTGGCATTCTCGTTATATATGGTTGAGCATTATTATTTTATAGTTTGATTTTGTTGCACCTGATGGCATGGACAGCTTTTTCAAAGATAACAAGAAACATTGCGGTACCCATTTTGGATTTACTATTATCTCTTTTTGAAGTCCTGTATTGCATTCATTGTTTTGTTTTTATTGCTTCTATTTTGTTTGATTTTTACTATGTCTGTCCTAAGGTATGGGCAACTATTTTGAAGACATTATGAGGCATTATGGTAACTACTGTTGCTTTCCTATTATGTTGTCTTGAAATCGTGTGTCACACCCTCTCGTTTTGACTGGCTTTGCTCTATTTTGCTTTGTTTTACTCTCTCTAAAACAAAATTAAATGAGCACTGTTTGTAACTATTATATAGTAGTTAACTTCAGCCATTTAAATTATATTGTAAAATTGATTAAATTTTTATTTTTCATAAAATAATAGTTTATATAGATAAAAGCATCCAAGTAGATCGTGTTCATGCATTCAACCTTTCACATCTCGCAAAAGTATGCTTTTTTTATTTCAAATGTTTTATCTTCCTATTTTATAACCAAGTCGCCCTAATAATCCCAGTTAAAATGCATCCTGCCAAGCAGAAACAAAAATAGCAACTATAACAAGGAAAGGCTTTCCACAAAGTCTGACTCTATGCTCTTATCAGTTACAACAGATGTACAGTGACTTCCAAATGTACTCAGGACAGAACAGCCATGTGAGAAAGTCAAAGTCTTAGAACTTACACCTTGAGTATCTTTTTAAGAACACTGCTACCAAAACAAGAATCAGCATATCATAACGTTAACATTTGAGGCGCTGAAGTGAACTTCACTAATGAAAACAGTAAGTGGACCAAATCACATATTAATAGAGTAATAATTATTTTACTCAGGAGCAACATAACGTTGACCACACACACACACACACACTCACCCACATTTATGTTCGTTTTTTTTGACACAGGATCTCACTATGTAGGCTGGGCTAGCTCAAAGTTGCAGCAATCCTCCTGCCTCTGCTCCCCAGTGTTGGGATTATAAGCCTGCACCACCATACCTAGCTTTGAGATTATATATTTCTGATTTTAGTACAATATAATTTTCAAGAACACTAAAGCAATACCTAAAATTGCCTACGAACCAAGTAATAAACCAGGTAAACAATCTGATATGCAGGACAGTTCAGCTGGCTGTAAGAGGTGATGCTAAGACAGTTTTAATTCTGGTTCAGTGTTTTTTCTGCTACCTCAAAACTGGAACATACATCTAAGCTAGAAAGCTATTTCATATCCTTTATGTAGACTGGCAAGGTATAAATTAAAAGAAACAAATTTCCAAAGCTTTGGCAAAGATACCACCATTATTAGAAATCTACATATGTAATTATTCTTAGACATCTCTTGACAGCTTCACCTTTTATATGACATTTGCTCTGTATTTAAAAAAGAAATCAACAAACATTATGTTAAACTCTAAGTGCAAGTATGTTACTAGCATATAGTATTATACATTACTACTTGAACCAGGAATTAATCTCCTGAAATATTTGTATTATCCCTATTTTACAAAGGACGACACAGTAGGTAGGGGGAGGGCTAAATAATTTCCTCAAAGTCACATTCTTAGGAAATAGGATTCAAGGTTTAAAAGCTTTTAAAATTAACTTTTAAAATAAAACTATTACTTATAACTAATATGGTCTAATATTAATACCTCCCTAAGAGTAACAGTTTCCTATAATTCAGAGACACAAGTATTATAAAATGTACAACCAAACAGAAGAATGTTACATACCTCTTGTTTTTCATTTAGAGACTAAAATTAATGCTTTCATAAAACAAAACTACTTTTTCGAAATATTTCTTTAATCCATCTGATTATCCAAACAATAAGTCCTGAAGGACAACGACATTATTAATAATTATTACTACAGTATTAAGTAATAGTGTTATGAATTAAATTATGTTTTCTTACAATTTCATATACTGAAGCTCTAATGCCAAGTAGCTTAGAATATAATGGTGTTTGGAGACACGGCTGTTAAGAACATGACTGGGTCAAACAGAGCCATTAGAATAGTTTGATGGCTGGCTGACTGCGTCAGCCTGCATAAGAGAAGCTCAACTAAATTGGCTCACAATTCCACACACTAGTGTGGCTCATCGCCCGCATGGTATAAAGGGGAAATGAAGATGGATGGATCTATTTCTGTTTCTACAGAGGAACTCCAGTCTTCACCTTCACCTTGGACCTCATCTCCTGGCACAAATTCTTCAGCTTCAAACCGAGACCCATCAGCCTCCTAATATGGACTCACATGGGACACTGCAGTGAGCTCTTTCAGCTGGATCCTTTGATCTCCAGGATGCAGAGATGCTCATCTGACTCTGCTGGAGCCATTATAAGCCAGTCTTGTGTATAATACCCAGTCATTATGTATAATACCACACCTAACAAACTTTTAAAGTACAAATAAATAAAAAATTATTAACTATCTGTTAATGTGTGCCCGTTACAGTGGTAAGTAGAAAGTAGGTAAGAAAACTTCTAATATGCTCAAAACCAGTTTTCCAATATTAAAATTTTACAATACAACAAAAATAAATTATAAATGTATATCTTTAGTAAGGTGGTAGCTGAACTGAAATCATTGTAAAAGTATACAATGAAGTATTCTAAAATTACTCCACTTTTGTTTTTATGATACTGGGGACTGACTTCAGGCTCTTGGGCATTCTAAGTAAGTTTTCTACCACCTAGTTACAACTTAGCCCTTTCTAACTTTGAGATAGGGTCTCACTAAATTGCCAGGACTAGCCTTGAACTTAAAGATCAGCCTCTTAGCCCTGTACGAGGTAGCTGAGTTTATAGATATATGCTACCATGCTCAGCTTCAGGAAAATTTTTTTAAAACCATAGAATATTTTGTTCAACAAAACTATTTCAAATTGATAAAAACTAAGGTGCACTATTGCAAAGTGATAAAAATTGAAGTGCACAGGTAAAAGCAGAAGTGGAAAAGAAAAACTTGTAAACATTCTTGAGATTAAAAATTTCTGCTCATTTTATATTCAAGAACCATGATCAAATACACTGAAAGTGGACTTTCCTATTTCTTTTTTTGTTTGACTGTACTTAAAATTATCAACATCTGCAAGGGGTAACCAAAGTATAAAAGACACATTGCCAATTAATTTCTCTCAAAAACTTCTTTAATTCTCTTAGCTAGCCCATCATCCTGGAAGTCCTCTTTCCTAAAAACATAGTGTGTCTTTACCCAGTTTATTCACCAGATCTGGCACCATGCAAATTCTGGCTCTTCTCTACATTAAAAATGACTATGAAAAGTGAACATTCTGAACTGATTCAAGACCCTGAAGTAGCTCCAACAGCTCAACTAAAGGCACTCCGGAAAGAGGATTTCCAGAACAGCTTCAGAAAGTGTCCAAAACAACAGGATAAATGTTTGAAGTGAGGGGGAGTATGTGGAGAGTTAAATGGCAATGGATTTTCATTGAAATAATTCTTAAAATTTAAACATTCACTACACATTTTATTACACCATGTAAATAATAAGGATGTGTGTTCCAAAATAAAATGGAGTTTTGCTTTTTAAAAGCATTTCGTGAAAAACACGCATACAAAGGGAAAAGACATGTACTGCAGCTATACAGCTCAATGTTTTCACATACTCCTTAGAACTAGATCCAGAGAAGGGTCAAAACAGAACTTGACTAACTCCCTGTACCATTTCTTGTCACTCTCTGTTCCCTCCAAGGACGATCGCTTTCCTAACTTCCAATATCACTGGCCATAATTTAATCGATTTTAATTCTTTTAAAACTAATTTGTATATACAGAATAGTGGTTGGAGAAGAACTGGTAGTGTAGACATCTTGTTCCAAATTCAACAGCACAAAAATATATCAGTTACAATAATTTCAATGCATCTTTCCAACACAGTACACTTTTCGCTAAAAATATCCTTCCTGTCACTCCATTTTCTCCCTCATGGAAGTGGTTCTCATACGATCCCCCAAACTTTTTCTTTCATTCTTCACTCTATATGTATACTTTTCTCTTATTCCCATACACATGTATCATGGCATTGGTCCCTTGTATTGTAAAATTAGGGAATGAATCTCCTTTCTCTCAGCACAGAGTAAATAAATAGTTAGAGGCCTCACTTTGTTCTGTTTCTTTACTCTTCCTAATCTAATCATTGTCCCAATCAACATGGTACACAATGAATGACTGTCATTTCAAGGCTCACTGTCACACAATCTGTTGAATGAGAAGAATTACTTATATTAATATTTCAGGCCATAAAAGCCCCGCCTCGATAAGTAGACAGAAGGACTGAGAACAACAAAAACAAAGGTTACAGTATATAATCCTAGAATAGTCTGATTAAAGTCAGAAAAAACAAATTTAGACCCGTATTTTATTGCAGTAAAAACTGAATCTTTCAAGGAAGCAATGCTCAGTTTAAATGCATTCATAAAGATTAAGTAATGCATTAACATGAAGAATATTTCCCTTTGGAATAAAAATGAAGTTCCAATTACCATATTGAAAGCTATACTTCCAAAAGAAAAAGGAATAAATTTTTACATACTCAAATGAACAAATACAATAATAATCAAATAGTATCTTATTTTAATTTGCAAAACTAATGATATTAATCCAATCTGTTATGATTGATACATTGTGACAACTTGAGAAGTTTAGAAATTTAACTAAGAGACTCAGCAGGGAGCCAAGATTCTTTTTTTTTTTTTGGTCTTTTTCGTTTTTCTGGGTACCAGAGATCGAACTCACGACGGCAGGCGCTTATGCCACTGAGCTAAATCCCCAGCCCCCAAGAGCCAAGATTCTTATTTTGTAAATATCCTCAGCCTGTGTAAGAGGAGGGCACAGAGGGAGCTTAAGCATTACGCCCATCCTGGGGGCAGGGTGGCTTGCATACAATATAAGGAAAAGAGGCTTGCTTCCCTACTCTTTTTGCTCTGGTTGCTTTTGCTGGCTGTTGCGTTTAAGTGTTGCCCCAATGCCATGCCGCCTTGCCTTGGGGCCAGCTGAAACCTCCACAAACAGTCAGCTATAAACTTTTCCTTCATTCATTTTGGGTATCAGGTAATCTGTCCCAGCAATGAGAGAAAAGTACTTATTAAAAAAGAAACATTAATTTTATACATGTTAATACTTCTACTGACCCAAATGAAATAACAACTAGAACCTCAACTACTATTAATATTGGATAACATACATATCCATATAAACCTATTCATATTAACATATTCAATATTAACTTTACCACAAGTAAATTAATTTAACCAGAACTTTTTGCTAGAAATATTGGATGTATTTTATTTCTCCTTAGAAAAACAAAGCCAGGTGTGGCACACACACCTGTGAATTCAGCACTCAGGAGGCTCAGATAGGATGATTGCCATGAATTTGGGGGCAGCCTGGACTACATAATGAGTTTGAGACCAACCTAGACTATACAGCAAGACCTTGCCTCAAAAAAGTAATAAACAAAAAGAAACAATTTTTCCCATAAATGTTTGACATAAAAAGTATTCATTAGCTTTCAATTAATGTGGGAAATGTAACAAAGACCAATACAGTTGACCCTTAAAATTGATAATAAAGAGCTTTACTTACTGCTATTTCTCTACATGCCGACATAGAGATCCCAGTTCCTTCTATTTGTTTTAAAGCATAGTCTTTATCATCTTTCCTGTAAAAATAAAGTTATTTTAATATGCAGATAAATCTATATGTGCATTTTAATCAAGCAAATATAAATTAAGTTGCATGTTTAATACACATTCAATACCTTTCACACATGATCACATAATGCAATACAGGAAAATTATTTACATAACAGGTGCTACTTCCATTATTTAAAGAGGGAAGCTAGCTTCAAAGGGATAAAGATTTGTCCAAGGCTCCACAGTTATTTATGGAAGATAGATTCACACAAAACTCTAGACTTCTAGTAACAGGTTTCTTTTAGTCTAATATACATATTTCTCTACATACACCAACTCAGGTATCAGTAAGTTGAAAGAGGTAAGAATGCATCACTAAAACACAAAATGGCTATAATTTTTTTTTTTGTCTTTTTCTTTTTTATTGGTACCAGGGATCGAACTCACGACTGTCTGCTTGCAAGGCAGGAGCTAAATTCCCAGCCCCAAAATGGCTATAATTTTTAAAATATAATGATTACAAACTGAAAATGAATTACTTAGGCTAGCCTCAAGTAATTACAAGAGGTATTCACTCAACATCCATGTATTAAGCATTTACTATGTATCCAGAACTATGCTAGGTATTGGGATACAGGAGGAGTTTGTCTTTCAGGAAATTTTCTTGTGTCTACTGGCCTACATGAACAACTAATCTGCCTTAATGCAGTACGATTAGTGCTACACTAGGGTAACTATAAACCAAAGAAGGTTACTCAGTTTCCTCTTGTGGAAGACTTGAGTAAAGACCTCTAAGAAGTATCTGTCACAATAGCTAGTTTTACGTATGGAAGTGATGAATGGAGGTTGGCTTCACCCTTTTGAGATCTCCCATTATCTCATTGTGCGTAAACCAACCTCGCCCACCTAAGACTAGGACTAAGATTAAGACTGGTAAGATTAAAAACAAGGTCAAAACTATAGATTTTTTACCAAGGTTAATGATGTCATTCACCTACCCTTGCTACCATTGGATCAGTATTATCTAAGGAAGTATACTTGCAATCTTATTGGTGATCATAATTTTGACCCACATTGTACCTGTCTCATAATTTTGCTCTATAAAATTTCCTTTGAAGGGTGGGCTGGTTGGCAACCCATATGGGACCCCTCCTGTCTCTCAGGAGTTACTACAATTCCCCATTCCTGCTCATCAATAAATTTTCCTACTCTAAACCTCCAAAGGTAAAAAGAAGTATCTAACTGAAGAATGAATGATTGTTCTCAAGCTTTTTGGACTCAGACCCTTTACTCTCTTCAGGATTCTAAAGAGTTTTTATTATCAATACCTACCCTATTAGAATTTAAACAAAGAAACTTTTAAAAGGCAAGAATACAAAGCCCATATGCATATGCCATCAGAGCAATGGTGTCGTGCCATTTCATGAAAATAAACGTGATTAATTAATGTCATAGCACTATTGTGAGTTATTTTTTTTTTAAACCTCTGAAAGGATCTCAGAACACCTAGGTGTTCTCAAATCACACTTTGAGCACAACTCTGTCAGTGAGAAAGTATGTGAGGTGAGAGAAAATAAAATATTTAAGAAAGAATAGTTGCATTACATAAATGAAGATGATGAGGCTGGGGATAAAATCAGGAACCAGAAACCGAAAGTTTTTACTACAAAAATAATAGTAAGGGGTCCTTTAAATTTTTTTGTTAGAGGATCAATTATATTTTACATGGGAAATAGATCTTTGGCTGCCTTGTGGATGCTCAGAGGAAATTAAAAA